GTCGTGGCGCTTTCGCAGCTGGTCCAGGTGCCTTTTCCAGACTCGGCCGTCCTCCAGTCTGACTCGATATGACCTGGGTCCGGTGATGGCCACGATCTCGCCTGGGATCCTCGCGAACACGGTTTCCTGTAAGACAAAATGCCTAACCCCTGACGTGGAAGCGAGGGGAGAGTCAGGGCAGTAATGTGGGTGAAGCCTGTCCAATACAGTCCGCAGGCGTCTGCCCATCAGGAGCTCAGCCGGGGACTTATTAGTGACTGTGCACGGGGTTGAGTGCTGGCTCATCAAGAAACGGGAGAGTTTGTGGTGCCAGTCTTCCTTGTTGAACCTAGCTAGAGCTTCTTTAGTGGTCCTAATGGCTCTTTCTGCCAACCTGTTACTGGCAGGATGAAAGGGAGCCGTGAAGATGTGGTGGATGCCCAGATTGGCAGCAAAACGGCTGAACTCGGCCGATGCGAACTGGGGGCCATTGTCGGAAACAATAGAGTCTGGTAGCCCGTGTGTTACAAACAGGCGAGTCAATACCTTGGTAATCGCTTGCGTGGTGGTTGTGGATAGTTGTGCCACGTCAATCCACTTAGAGTAAGAGTCCACGACCACCAGGAACATTTTGCCGTGCATCGGGCTTGCCAGGTCGATGTGAATCCTGGACCACGGTGTGCTGGCGCTTTCCCACTTAGTGGGGGTGGCAATTGGAGGGGATGGACGGGATTCCTGGCAGGGATGGCAGGAGCTTACCCATCTGATGATGTCTTCGTCGAGGCCCGGCCACCATACGTAGCTGCGTGCTAATGCCTTCATTCTGACGATGCCAGGGAGTCCTTCGTGCAACGCTTCCAGAACTCGGGTACGCAGTGAGGTCGGGATGACCACTCGTGTGCCCCACAGCAAACAGCCCTGCAAACTGGATAATTCCTGTAGGCGGGTCTTGAAAGGTGTAAATTTGGTTTCAACATCACCGCCCGGCCACCCCCTCCTCACCCAGTCCAGTACCTGGGCGATCGTTTTGTCTGCCTTGGATTTGGCAGCGATGTCAAGGGCAGTGATGGGGAGGTCCAATTGGGTGACCTCAAAGATAGCATAGACCGGTGCAGGATCCTCAGCTGGAGCAGGCAGGGGGCAGCGGCTGAGGGCGTCTGCGTGGGACAATGTTTTACCTGGACGGTATGTGAGTCTATACGAGTATGCCGCTAGGAAAAGAGTCCACCTCGTCATTCTAGGAGACAGGACTTGAGGGGTCTGTTTGTCACCAGCTAGTAGACCCAGGAGAGGCTTATGATCCGTGACCAGCTCGAAAAAGTGGCCAAAAAGAAATTCGTGAAATTTCTTCACTGCTGCGACAGCTGCTAAAGCTTCCTTATCGATTTGGCTATAATTGCGCTCTGTGGCAGAGAGCGTCCTGGAAAAAAAAGCGATGGGGGCCTCGGAGCCATTGGGGAGCCTGTGGCTTAACACTGCCCCAATTCCAAAAGGGGATGCGTCTGCTGCTAGCACTAATGGAAGGTTGGGGTCGAACTGAATAAGGACCGCCTCCGACATGAGTAGTGATTTGACTGCGCGAAAAGCAGAGTCTTCTTTGTGTCCCCAGTGCCAAGACGATTTTTTATCCAAAAGTCTGTGTAGGGGTTCCGCCACCGATGCTTTATGGGGCAGGAAAGATGCGTAAAAATTCAATAGCCCCAAGAAGGCCTGCAGTTCCGCTTTGGAGGTTGGCGTGGGTGCCTCGTGAATTGCCTTAACCTTGGACTCCAGGGGGTGAATGCCTGAGGCGTCAATTTTATAACCCAGAAAGTCCACCTGTCTAGTGGCAATGGCACATTTTTCTTTTTTTAACTTGAGGCCATGCTGTCTGAACCTCTCTAACACTGCTCGAACTCTCTGGAAGAGTTGAGGTCTGTCCCTGGCCGAGACTAAGATGTCGTCGAAGTAGGGTACTACACCAGGGAGGCCCTGCAAAATCCGCTCCATAAGGGATTGAAAAATGCCTGGGGCAACACTTACGCCAAATTGGAGACGCTTGCATCGGAAGGCACCCCTGTGTGTGACAATGGTCTGGAGTTCCGCTGTTTGGTTGTCAACAGGGAACTGTTGATACGCTTGAGACATGTCCAATTTGGCAAAAATGCTGCCAGGTTCAAAAGTGTGTAATAAATGCTGAATGACGGGCACTGGTTAAGCGCTAACTTGTAAAAACTTATTAATTGTGGTTTTGTAGTCCGAGCAAATTCTCAGGCTACCGTCTTTTTTGAGGGGTGTGACAATGGGCGTCTCCCATTTGGCGAAATCTGTTGGCTCAATGACCCCTTGTTTTAATAATTTATCCAGTTCCGCATCTAATTTAGGCCGAATAGCGAATGGGACTCTACGAGGTTTTAGCCTGATTGGGACTGCTTGGGGGTCAACTGAGAATGAGATAGGGGTACCGTTATAACACCCCAGCTCATCGCTGAACACGTCTGAGTAGTCAGCGAATAAGGAGTCAGTGTCAGAGGTTGAGACAGCATGGACTCCTGTTAACCCTAGGCCGAGATGGGGAAACCAATCAAGCCCCAAAAGTGTGGGGAGGTTGCCGTTAACTACCACTAGAGGTAGGTGGCCTTTGAAAGTTTTAAAATTAACAAGAAACTTGCCTCTGCCCATTACAGGAATGTCCTTCCCCTGGTAGTCCTTCAGGCTAAACTGGCACTTCTGGAGCCGGTTTCTAGATATGCTGGGCTGTAGTCTCTTGAGGGTGCTCCAGGAAATAATTGAGAGCGCTGACCCTGTGTCAACCTCCATGCGACAAGGTTTACCTTCTAACAAAACGGAGAGAGAGATTTTACTAATGGCATGGCAAGCGTGCTTAGCACGGTGGTGAGTGCGACAGTTTAATACTTGCCTTTGTGGTCCAGAATGTGAAAAGGCAGGGTGTCTTTGTGCCGAGTTGTGCGCGGCTTGACAGACTCTAGCGATGTGTCCCTTTTTGTGGCAAATGTTGCAGGTGGCTCCCTTGAATTTACAGGTGGCCCTCAGGTGAGATCCACCACAGGATAGGCACAGGGTGATGTGCTTGGGTGGACTGATGCTTTCTTGCTTGGCTCCTACCTGCGGATATCTGGCGTGGGCGAGGCGGTGGATGTCGGTCGCATCGCTGGGGTCTTCTTCTATGACCACCTCTTCGGAGTGGACTGGAACTGCCATTTGCTTGGAAGCAGGACCTTGGATTTCGGTGGCTGAGTGTGCTGCCAGCTCTGCTGCCAGGGCTTCCTCGACGGCTTGTGCGAGGTTGAGGTCCTTCCTAGCGAGTAGGCGCCTTTGGAGGTGAAGATCCTTGACTCCGCAGACTAACTGATCGAGGAGCATGTCCTCCAGGTAGGTCCCAAAACCGCAATGGAGGGCTGCAGTCCTGAGGGCAGCCATGTATTGGTTGATGGACTCTTTGTCTGATTGCTTCCTCATTCGGAAGGTGAACCGCCTGGCAATCTGTGAGGGTCTAGGAGAATAGTGGTTAGTAAGGATTTCTAACAGTTCTGACCAGGGAACGTTTTTTAACTCACGTGGAGCCACGAGTGCTGTGGCCGTATCAAAGACGATGGCTCCACAGTAGATCAGGAAATATGATTTTTTTCCGGTGCTCCCCTGCATCAGCCAGCCCAATTGCGTCGATGTAATGGTTAAAGCGGTTCTTGTATGATTCCCACTTCTCCTCATCCGGCTTGAACGCTGGGAAAACTGGGTTGGAGTTCATAATGAAAAAAATCAGGTTGTATAATCTGTTGAGAGAATCTCTCTGGGGCAGCACAGGAAGGTTTTTGTGCCTGTGGCAGGCAAGTGACTTCAGCTCTGGAGAGACTTTTCGCAGCTCTCTCTCTCTCTCTCTCTGGGTTAACACGAAGTTAGGCTGCAACGGCCATTGGCAGCGCTTCGAAATTCGCGCCTGCGTGGGCGTCAGTGACTTTGAAATACAGCACCGCACTGTACTTCTAGGGCGGAAATTCAAATGACAGCCGTTTGAATTTCGCGCCTAAAGAAACGAGCGGCTGCGGCTCGCAGCGCTTCACTTTCCCTGTAGCTTGGCTAACTAGCGGCTACAGACGCTTCTCACTCTCGCTGTTTGCTGACCGCTCTCTCTGGCTTGCGGCTCAGCGTTCGCTTTCGTTGCCTGCTGATCGTTCTCTCTGGCTGTGGATCAGCGTTTGCTCTTATTGCCTGCTGATCGTTCTCTCTGGCTGCGGATCAGCGGCTAGTGCTTCAGCGGTTGCATTGTGCCTCTGGTAGCCATCCCATCCTCGTCGCCAGTGTTACGTTCGGGTAATGAGAGGCTGAACCAGGGCATTGGTGCAACAAATACTTTATTAGGATAATAAGGGACTGAACGTGCTTGCCAAGCCTGGAACTGGCTCGCAGCGATCAGCGACTGGTTGGACCCCGCAGCCTGCTTTTATAGCTGGCTGCTGGGGAGAACCAGCCAATGAGAGAGAGGGCAACTGCCCCCGCAGCGCGAACGGACCTGAGTGGGAACTTCTTTAAGTTCCAGGGACATAACAGTGTTGCTGCATGACCTGCTTAATCTCAGCATGACTAAAGGACACTGACCATTTGTTTAGGCCCATGATAACGAACCTAGGACACACGTGCCGGAAGTGGCATGCAGAGCCATTTCTGCCGGCATGCGAGAGGTCACCTGGAAGAGCCCCACTGCCCCTGCCAGCCAGCTGATTGTTGGGTATCTGCTGTATAAGCGCAGGGGGTGGGTTGTGCGTGCATGCAGAGGCGTGCAGTGTGATCACATGTGCATGCACAGGTGGGGGGGGTCATGCACGCATTGTATCATGGATGCAGGCATGCAAGCGTGTGAGCACACTTTTGGCATGCAACATGAAAAAGGTCAGCCATCACTGGTCAAGGCACATATTATCCCTTATCTTTCCCATTCAAACAGAAAGGAAACCTCTACCTACCTTTCCATATTTTGTCTAAAAATGTTTTCTTGCTTCTACTGGTTCAAACAGAGCTACCCAGTTCACCTCTTTCACTTCTGCCCATCTGAATTCAAGTTCAGTTCAGCTTCTAAAACCAAAGGCTTATCATTGCTAGTCTTTTTTCTCAAATAATTTGCTAAAAAAATTGAGAACACAAAAACAATGAGAGTGAATTTCTGTAGGGACAGAGAGATTGGTAGAAATATATAGGAATGGTCATTTGTGTTTCATTTCTGCCTGAATCTAGTTTTCCATTCTTATTCATTTCTGTTATAACTCAGCTAACTGTGAATGTATATATTCTCAAGCAAGCAACACTTCAAATGAAGCTGTCCTTGTTTCCAACGTAAATTTACTAGGAATAGAACTAAATTCTTCTATATAGTTCTGTAACTGATCAAAGTAGCAAGAAAAAGTTTTTTTAAAAAAAACTTTATTTAATGTTCTTGATACTATTCAAAATTCATAAAGCAAAATTTTATTAATATTGCACAGGTGGATACAAAATGACAATTGCTTTACTTTAAAGTACTTAGTATTACTTTAAAATCATAACCATGCAAATTGATATTAATATATTAATATTATTTGAATCCCATTCTAAGTGATATGCATTCAATTAAATTATAGATAAGAGCCGAGGAAGAAAATCATTATAAACATTTTACCAGTTTATGGCACAAGTATCTGAGTTGGTGATAACAGCTTATTTTTTTTGAGAATGAATGTTTGAAGAATATATAAACCTTACTTGGTAATTGAAACTCCTTAAATTTCTATTTCTTTCTTCTCCCTGCTTCTCACATCCCCTTTTGAACCAAGCAAAAATTGTGGTTTGCTCTTTTCTGCATTTTACCATCCAGGTTGTTTTGCTCTATCTATTTACAATATGGTGTATTTTCTGCTTGCATATATGGAATATTTCTCACCTCTGACATGGTGATAAACTAATGAGTTGCCATGTTTGGGAGAGAAAGCTTTATTTTAAAAACTTGGCATATCATACAGCATTATGATTCTTCCTGCTTTTTAAGAGAATCAGAGGACAAATTGCAACAGAAAATTTGTACTGATGATGTTACTTGTTGGGAATTGAAACATCTGCAAACAACCGAGACAGCAATGGAGACTCCTTATTTCACAGTCCAATCCTGAGCTACAAATAGTATTTTCTATTAGAAAAATTAACTCATCATTGTTTACCTTTTTAAATTCAGAAGTTTAATGTTTGAACCACCAGTCTAGACTGTATAACATGTCCTTGACCAGACAGCTGCAAGGCAACAGCTTCTGACCCCTTTGTATGTTCTTACATTCCTTGAGCTTGGCTTTTAGTTTAGTAGAAATCCTGAAAGACAAGTGATTTCACCTCCTTTTAAGCTTTACTATTACTGCTTATTTGCACAGATTATAAAAGATAAATTAAGTGACAAGATAAGTGCCTACATATGAATATGCTTACTTTCTGCTCATCAATTTTTCTATCTTAATATAAAGTCTGGTCAGAAAGAAGAGAAAGATTACCAGATTAAGAACTAAGGTGTTCTGGCTGTATCCTCTTTCATGTTGTACAGAGGCACTACATGTATATAGCTTGCAACTTTTGGATTTGGGGCACACCCCATCACTTCCACTGTTGCCTTGTGAAAATCTTACATTTTAAAAAAATGTCTTTCTTTCTTTCTTTCTTTCTTTCTTTCTTTCTTTCTTTCTTTCT